TCATTTTAAAGGTACTTGAAAGATACAAACCTCCCCAGGTTTCCAGAGAAATTTCCAGAATTGTAAATAGGGACAAATGTGCCAAATGTATCCCAGGAGATGTTCTAGGGATAGAAAATATTTACCTCTGAGTAGAGTGTGATGGAGGTGATCAGAGGAACTCTCTAATCTGCTCTACTGGGTTTTGTAGGGCCATTACATGGAACATGCATAGGAATGACTCTGTGCCCTGGGTCACATTCTGTATGTATCCTGGGTCACCACTTTAGAATGACGCAATAATCCTTTAGTGGTAGAAGGGAGGGCTATGCCAAAGAGGATTGGCTCCTGAGCCAGGAAGAACTACTTCTTAAGTAATCTTTAAAAGGAGTTACACATTTTTTATCTTTATTCCTGGCTGCTGAACGTGTCAGAATCCTTAGTTCTCCCCAAGACTTCCAGTGGGGGAAGAGGATAAGGAATGATATCACTAATAACTCAAATGTGTTAGTGAGAGGTTATGTGTGTTTAGGTAAGCTACAGGCTGAATCTTGAGTCCCCAACTGTTTTGTGTTTCTTTTCCTGAGCAAAGGTGACTAAACAATAATCCTGAGATTCCTGGCTATGGCAACAAGCCCATGAGATTGAGAGTCTGGGAATTCCCTGGGTCTGGACCAAGGCTGCCCTAGAGAAAGTGATCACATCTTCTCAAAGGGATGACGACTGTCAGGAGGATACTTCAGGTGAAAGGACTAAGAAAGCCCAAACCAGGATATTGCTTGGCAGAAGATAACCTTCATCCAGTTGCATATGTCTCAGTAGATAGTGAAACATATCAATCAGTCCCCAAAAGTATTTCATGTTAATGTTGTAAGTATAAACCTCATAGGGAGATCATTTGTTTTAAGTATTTGCCAAAGTATACATATGATTTTTTTATTTTAAACATTTTTGTGGTAAAAGAAACAGCCATTCTTACTTTGTACATTAAGTACATATTCTAAACATGATCCCATTACTTTTGGGGGAAACCCTGGATATGGACTAAACCTAAGCCTTGTTTTAGAGATTTTCCCAAGTTTTACTCTGGGATAGGTGTATAGTAAGCAAGAGTATGAGAAAAGCCTTATTCCTTTGTTTTAGGGCTCCCCTAGGACTGAACTTCATTTGCTTGAGCATAGAGCCAGAGCCCTTCAGTGGGAGAAGTCCTACTCATTTCATAACATAGCTCTTTGTCTAAATGTAAGTAGGTGTTTCCCCATTTGTGTGTGTGTGTGTGTGTGTGTGTGTGTGTGTGTGTGTGTGTGAATTCTACAGTCAGTACAGATGGGCACCTTGACTAGAGATTCATTAAGTGAGAGGGTATCAACATTTTCTTGCAAGTTTGTGTTAGTTTACCTTGGCTTGGTCTTTTCTTGTATATACTGCATATACAGGGAACTCAGGTTGAAATAGGACCTCATGTCTTCAGTCTAATGTTCACTTTCTTCCAAAGCGAAGCAGTAAGCTAAGCCTAATCTCTCAAATCAGATGTTTGGTTTTTGGTTTTTTGGGTTGGTTTTTTTTGGGGAGGGGGTGGAGGGGTGGGAGGGTTTGTTATTTGTTTTTTGCAGCTTAAGACAATGTCTGGCTCTGGTGCCTTCCCAAATTCAAACTTGGACTCTCTCCTATTCATCCCTACCCCTTTCTTTTTAAACACTAGCCCTAATTCTAGAGAAGCTAATATCTCCAACCAGTTGGAAATAGCCAAGTCAGCCCTGAAGAAAGGCTTAGAGCTTTGGATTTGGAGTCAGAGAATTTGGGTTTTGAACCCAAGTCCCTTTCTGGTGATTTTCAATCTTGAATTTCCAACTACATATTAGACATCTCAAACTAGATGTCTTATTGATACCTTAAACTCAGCATGTCCAAAACTGATTTCATTATCTTTCCTCCCCCATTCTCTTCTCCTTCCAAACTTTCATATTACTCTAAAGGGAACCACCATCCTCTCAGTCACCCAGGCTCAACACTTAGGTATCATCCTCCATTCTCATCCCCCATATCAATCTGTTGCCAAGGTCTGTGGATTTCACCTTTGTAACATCTTCCCCATATGTATATGCCTTTGTGCCCTCTGACACTGCCACCAGGCTGGTATAGGCCTTCATCACCTCATGCTTGGACTATTGCAATAGCCTGGTGGTTGGTCTGCGTGCTGGAAATCTCTCGCCACCCCAGTCTATCCTCTACTCAGCTATCAAATCGATCTACCTAAAACAGGTCTGATCTTGTCACACTCCCCCACCTCTAATTCAGTCAGTTCCAGTTGCTCCCTATCACCTCCAGGATCAAATATAAATTCTTCTATTTGATGTTCATAACCCTTCAAAACTTGCCCTTCCCCTTAGCTTTTCAGTCTTCTAACACCCCATTCTTCAATTCACTAGCCTCCTTGCTGTTCCTTTGAACAAGACACTATATCCTAAATATGGACATTTTCACTGGCTATCCCCCATGCCTGAAATGCTCTCTGCCCTCATCTCTGCTACCTGGCTTCCCTAGCTTCCTCCAAGTCCCAGCTTTTACAGGAAACCTTTCTTGATCCCTTTCTTCTAGTGCCTTCATTCTGTTGATTATTTCTAATTTAATTAATTCAAATTATTTCCAATAGCTTACTTGTTGAACAAAATGGAGCTAACCACAGATACCTGGAGTATTTCACTAGAGACCTTTTTCCAAGTAGATTTCCAAAATGGTTGATCATCATTTTTTCCCCTGGAACAGAAATGAGATGTTATTAAGTTTGCTTTTGTAATTTTGAATAAAACTATATAATATTCCTCTAATTTACCCATCACTCTTACCTTGCTCACAAAAGGAAATAAGGCTAGTCTGGCATGACCTATTCTTGATGTATCCATGTGGGATCTTCCTCAGTGATTTTCTGGGGAAGGGGGGTGTCCAGCTGGTGACTTGGTCAGACCTGTGCTTCAGGAAAGATCACTTAAACAGCTAAGTAGAGGTTCAACTGGAGTGAGCAGAGACTTGTGGTAGGTAGCCCAACCAGCAAGTAGCCTGTATTATAAGTGTCAGAGGAGACAAGGAGGCATATGGAAGAGATACTACAATAGTCACAGTAGTCATACTGAGTGGGAAGAACATATGCAAATAAAGATATTGTAATTCTTTCTTTTTATTGGTTAGTTTACTGAATGATTATTTTTGACTAATCACAGAGCCCACATTTCTCTTCCTGTGGCTGCTATAAACGTTGCTTCACTACTCAAATTGTGTTTTAATTTCTCTACCTTTGTATTTACTTTTGCTTTTGTAGTTTTGCAGAAAGCAGAGTGGAAAATTTCCTGCCAAGACACACAAAAAAAGTCTTCTCCTATTGATCTGCAGATCCCCATTGGCTGTTTGCATTGTGGGCCACACAAAGGCAATGAATACGTATAAAAGCTTGGTGTCAAGGCACATATATACCTAGTCATTGTTCTGATATAGCTGACCGTTGAAATCTTGGGCTAGATTGGTACCGGGCCAACGACAAGTGGTACATTATCTCTCACCACCTTCAGCTGGCCATAAACAATAAGAGGCTGATATCTTTCCCAACATTCAGGCCCTGCTGGCTGCCTCAGAAGGTGGAGAGTCCCCACAAAATGCAAGCAAGGCTGATAAAGATTTTGAGCTGTCAGGCAGTTAGAATCCAAAAGAAAAGCATGATAAAAATCCAAAGGTTCTTTTGAGATTCCCCCACTCCGAAAAGATGTAGCTGTGCTACTTCCTTAAGTTGTAAAAAATGCACTGACCTCACCTTCATTGAAAAAAGTTAAGGAGCCAATAAGGCTAAAACTCATTTTGTAGGTAAGGTAAAAATAACTTACTTGCAAAATCATAGAAATAAGGAGTAGCAGTCTGAATTCCAAACCTAGTTGTTTTACTCTAGCCTGATGTTAATTTATTGTTTCTTTTCCTTTCTCTTAAGCACAATCACAAGTCATTTAAATGTAACAAACATCAAGCTTTGAAGTGTAGTGTATTAAGTTCTCTACTTAGTGATCTGGATTCAACTTCACCTTTTTACACTTGCCGCACTTCAAGGCTGAGGATCCACCTTTGATAAAATGGGGATGGATGGATGAAAGGCATTTATCAAGGGCTTACTATGAGTGAACAAGTGTGCTGAGGTTACAAATAGTAAAAGGGAGTGTTCCAACTCATTCTAACACGAGATGACACACATAGCATGATAAAAGTGTAGTTTCTCAAGGTACTACTTCTAAGTGTTGCAAAGAAAATGCTATATGGCAGCCATTCTAAAGGAAAATTCCTGCAGATAAATATCTTTTCACAAAGGGATTCTAGGCGATTTTTTTTTAAGAACTACACACACTCCTGAAACCCTACCAGATTACAGCCACATTTACAGCCATTTACAAGGATTTCAGTGTCCTTGGTGCTACTGAGTCATGTCTTCCAAGTTAGGAATAAATCGACTTACAAAAATTTTTCAATCCCTTAAGATAATCTTTAGTATAAATTAGTATAGTATGTAAACTCCTTAGAATAGGGATTGTTTCTTTGTATTCCTATCTCACAGTATTTGGAACATAGTAGGTGAGTGATAAATGCTTGGATGATTGATTGATTAACTGAAATGAATTAGAAACGAGAGAAATAGAATGAGAAATCTGGTTACAGCTAAGTAATAGTCTAAAATAACTCGGTATTTTTTCCCAAAGAAATATTTCTTTTATCCAGTAGCAGGAAACGTCAAATAGCATTTAAAATAAGATTTGTTCAACTAGACTATGACACAGTACTAAAGGAATTTTGTCAGCATGTCGGAAAGTTCCGTTTGCAGGGAATGAACAAAAGAAAAAAAATCTGAAAACGGTTGGCGCCTTCAGTTGAAAACTCGACGATGGACCAATCCGGTCTCAGCGCGGGATTTTTTGAATATGCTCTAGTCCAATCAGAAGAGAGCCTTGTCTATAAATAACGCAGTATTCTCTTTTTTTCTTCTGCCACAGTGGGGAGGGTTTTCTTATTTTATTGCGATGGCTCGTACGAAGCAGACCGCTCGTAAGTCTACCGGCGGCAAGGCGCCCCGTAAGCAGCTCGCTACGAAGGCTGCCCGCAAGAGCGCGCCGGCTACCGGCGGCGTGAAGAAGCCTCACCGCTACAGGCCCGGCACCGTGGCCCTGCGGGAGATCCGGCGCTACCAGAAGTCGACCGAGCTGCTGATCCGCAAGCTGCCTTTCCAGCGGCTGGTGCGCGAGATCGCGCAGGACTTCAAGACTGACCTGCGCTTCCAGAGCTCGGCCGTCATGGCCTTGCAGGAGGCGAGCGAAGCCTATCTGGTCGGGCTGTTTGAGGACACGAATCTGTGCGCCATCCACGCCAAGCGGGTCACTATCATGCCCAAGGACATCCAGCTGGCTCGCCGCATCCGCGGGGAGAGGGCTTAGACTATTGGCTGTCTTTGACATACCGTACCCAAAGGCTCTTTTCAGAGCCACCCACAGTTTCCCTAAATAACTGTAGCGCTCTTTCCTGTGCTGGTGTTTTTTAAGCAATTAATTTCCTTATTTGCTGCTTTTTGGGTTACTTTGCCACACACTGGCTCAAAAGTAATGGCTGCTTCAGCCATTTTAAAAACACTTCTGGAACATTGCTCAGCAGCTGGTTGTCCATTCTCAGAGTGGTCGGCTTTAGCTCAAACAGGCTCCTCAGCTGTCTAGAAAAACTGGCTTCTTTGACTTTTTGCTCACCGCTGCGGGGGGAATAAACCTAACAGTCATTTCAGACATGAACACATGTACAGATATAAAATTTACACTAAACATTTCTGTGTGTTACTGACTTAGAAAGCTTATTTGGTTTTTTTGTTTGTTTTGCCTTCACAGAAGTCTCAGTTTCTACCTACAAATGAGCAGAGAAACTTCATGTCTTTTTCTTTGTACCCTCAATCTCCAAATACATTCTTTCATGTCCACCTAGTTGAGGTGAATTGGGTCCAAATCACAGACTTTTAACCCCCAATATTACTGTTCTGAGAAGTTTAGGCTAAGGCTAAGCTCAACTGAAATTACTTCCATTTAATGTAAAGATATGTGAGTCAAGAGTACCCAGCAAAATTCCAAATACTTACTTTCTAATTTATTTATTATCTAACTGAGCTAATCTTTGCCTGCAAATGTTTCCTCACCTATGAAATAAGATTGAGGTAGAAGTCTTAAGTCCTTTCCAGTTCTAAATCCTATATGACATTCCTTATGTACCTGAAAAATTCTCAGCAGATATAGTAGCAAAATTATTTGACCTGATTAACTTTTTTGTAACCAATATATCTAATTGATTATGGATCTAAGAGGGTTATTAGGATTGAAGGATTAACAAAATAATTTAGCCTATGGTATTCAAGCATTTTAACATTTTAATGAGTCCCCCTAGCAAAGGGGCAGCTAGGTGGCACAGTGGATAGAGTGCTGGGCCTGAAGACCTGAGTTCATATTTGGCCTTGGACATTTACTAGCTATGTGACCCTGGGCAAGTCATTTAATCCTGTTTGCCTGTTTCCTCATCTATAAAATGTGCTGGAGAAAGAAATGACTCCAGTATCTTTGCCAAGAAAACCCCAGATGGGGTCACAAAGAGTGAGATACAACTGGGCAATTGGTGGGCATCAACTTTGTTTTCAGTTCGTTACTACCACAAATGGTTTTATTTTGAGTAACTTGGTTCATATGGGACTTTCTGTGTATGACAAGGAAATATATGCCTAATGGTGGAATCTCTAGGTCTAAGGGTATGGGAGCATAACATGGTATAGTGGAAAGAGCAATGGATCAGTAGTCAGAGGATGTGGGTTCAAATGCTGCCTTTCCTTCCTACCTGTAGGACTTTGGCCAAGTCATTTTACCTTCATAAGCTTCAGTTTCTTCATCTGTAAAATGAAGGGATTAAATTAAATAGTCTTAGATGTCCCTTCCAGAGGATTTTATGATCACTTTCATCCAAGGGTCCTGTTTAAATCAAGAAAGGAGGCTACATTTACTACTTGGTGTATTAAAGCTGTTTATTGGAAAGACTATTCAACAGAGAGGTGTGTACTTCATCTGTAATCAGTTCTGGCCCCCAGATTTTGGAATATACTTGGTCATATTAAAGTAAAGCTTTTACTTCTGACAGGAACTAACAATCACCCATAATGTGGTACAATTCTTTTTTTTTATTAATTTATTTTGATTTATTAACAATCACTTCCATATGTTTTTGAGTTTAAAATTTTTCTCCCCCTTCCTCCCCACCACCCTCCCCAAGATGGCACACAATCTGATATAGGCTATAATATACATTCTTATTAAACATATTTTCACATTAGTGATGTTGTAAGTAAGAATTAGAACCAATAGGAGGAACCACCAGAAAGAGGAATCAAAACTCAACAGAAGAAAAAAAAAATAGCAAATAGTATGCTTCGATCTGCATTCAAACTCCATAGTTCTTTCTTCTTTGTGGATAGCATTTTCCATCACGAGGCCTTTGGAGATGTCTTAGATCCTTGCATTGCTAAGAAGAGTTAAGTCTATCAATATTAGTCATCGCACAACATGGCTGTTACTGTGTACAACATTCTCCTAGTTCTGCTCACTTCATTCAGCATTAGACCATACAAGTCTTTCCAGGTTTTTCTGAAGTCTGCCTGTTCATCATTTCTTACAGCACAATAGTATTCCATTATATTCATATACCACAACTTGTTCAGCCATTCCCCAATTGATGAGCATCCTCTCAATTTCCAATTCTTTGCCACCACAAAAAGAGCTGCTATAAATATTTTTGTACATGAGTACATGAGTAACATGAGTACATGAGTGGGTCCTTTTTCCATTTTTATGATCTCTTTGGGATATAGCCTTAGAAGTGCTATTGCAGGATCAAAGGGTATGCACATTTTTATAGCCCTTTGGGCGTAGTTCCAAATTGCTCTCCAAAATGGTTGAATCATTTCACAACTCCACCAACAATGCATTAGTGTTCCAATCTTCTCCAACATTTATCATTTTCTTGTTTTGTCATCTTGTCCAATCTGATAGATGTGATGTGGTACCTCAGAGTTGTTTTGATTTGCATTTCTCTAATCAATAGTGATTTAGAGCATTTTTTCATATGACTATAGATGGCTTTAATTTCTTCATCTGAGAACTGCCTGTGCATATCCTTTGACCATTTCTCAATTGGGGAATGACTTGTATTCTTATAAATTTGACTTAATTCTCTATATATTTTAGAAATGAGGCCCTTATCAGAGAGACTGGTTGTAAAAATTCTTTCCCAGTTCTCTACCTTCCTTCTAATCTTAGTTGCATTGGCTTTGTTTGTGCAAAAACTTTTCAATTTAATGTAATCAAAATTATCCATTTTGCTTTTCTTAGTGTTCTCTATCTCCTGTTTGGTCATGAATTCTTCTGTTCTCCATAGATCTGATAGGTAAACTATTCCTTGCTCTCCCACTTTGCTTACAGTATCAGCCTTTATATCTAAATCATGAACCCATTTTGACTTTATTTTGGTATACGGTGTGAAAATGTGGTACAATTCTTAATTAGGTGGCTGCTTGATAGGATTTTCTGTGTTAGGACTATCTGGAGTCTATTGCCATTGGATTCCAGTCTCTTGCCTCCCCACCAGAAGTCTATAGGGGTCAGGCTGCCCTATATAAACAAGACTGCAACCACAGACTGTTCTTTGAGTCACCTTTACAGGCCCACCCCCACTCCACAACTAAATTTGTTCTAGTAGTGATTTTGGCTCTTCAATAGACCTTGGGCAAAATTCCATCTCTCTGAGACTTTTTTCATCTGTAAAATGAAGGGGTTAGATTAAGGTCAGGGGTTCTTAATTTTTTTTGTTTTTGGTCATGTACTCCTTTATCAGTTTTATGAAGTTTTACGGACCCCTTCAAAGCATAATGTTTTGTACCTGCATTCAAAATTGAAGGAAATGTTAAATTTCAGTTAGAGGTTAGTGAAAATAAAGATGTCAACTTTTTCCCCCATTCCAGTTGACAGAAGAATCCCTGATATTTGATCCAAGTACTATGGACCCTAGGTTAAGAACTCCTGGGATAGATAAGTATCTCCCAGATCTAAATCCTAGCATTCATTAATGCAAGGAAATATAGAAATTACCTACTCCCCTTCATTTTACAAATGTTCAAAATATGACCTAACAAGTAGGTAATCAATGAGTATTTGCTGAATGAATGATTGCATGAATGAGTGAATGAATGAATTCTGCAACCCCCTACACCTGCCATTCTGGTTCTTTTGCCTTGCCTGAGGATGTTTGCCTTGCTCTGCCCCACTGTTTTACCTATCAAACTGCAGAAGTTAAAAGATGTCAGCTTCCTGCAAATATCTATGCTGACCACATGCTCAGTTTACTTGTATTCATCCAGGCTGTGTTTGTTCTAGGCTTTGGTCAATGCCTTTAGAAATGTGTACTGTGGGTCACAAGAGAGGGCACAAAGATAAGCTAGTCAAAGTTCAATTGCACATAACACAGCTCCTATGTTTTCCTCTAGGGGCAGGACAGGGTCCATCCTCTTCAGTGCACAGATCATTTCAGCAAAACATGGGGTGGGGAGCATTCTGAAAAGGAATGTCCTCCTAGTCCTGGAATAAAATACTTTAGGCCTCTCAAATTAAACCCTGTAAACTAGGATTTGGGAGCCAGCAGAAGCAGGAAAGGCAAAGAGAGGGGCATTCCTGTGACTTGGAAATACCGGGCAGGTTCAGGGTTGCAATGAGGACACTACCTCAACTGGCTGTTCTCCTGCTCCTCCTAAGGGTAGTGGTCCAACGGGAGGGACCATCTCGTGAGTCTAAGGGTAGTGGTCAGCAGGTGGGGTGGGTCAATGGGAAGAAAACAGGAGTGAAGTAGTGGGTGAGTCCTACCTCCACCTTCATCCTCATCCCCACCTCTTTTCCCTACAGAACAGGAATTAGGAGAAAGAGGTCTTATTGTTCTTTAAATTTTTCTGCCTTGTTTGGATTTCCCCCTATTCCTTACTCATGGTGGATCCCATAGCTATCGTCTGTTTCCTTCTCAACTCTGTCCTCCTAGTACTACCCTGATCATTTTACTACTAATAATTTTAAGTTAAATTTGCATAGTGCTTTCTCATATTTTATTTGATCCTGAAAAAGAAAAAAAAAACTATGAGATTTTACATAATCATAGGATCATTGATTTGGAGTTAGAATGGACTTTACAGGCAATCTTGTCCTAGCCCCTCTTTTTACAGCTGAGGAAAAGTGAGGCCCAGAGAGATTAAGGGACTTGTCCAAGGTCACACAATATTTCGGAAGAGTTGTAACAGGAATTCCAGGTATTCTGTCCTCTTTCTTTTTTCTCTTAGTTCCATCTTCTTTATCCTCAAACTAGAATTCATGGCTTCCGGAAAGAGGTCATTGCCTCAATCTTTGTCCCCGTAGATTCCACCTAGTAACAGATGACATTTATATAATTTGTATAAATCACTGGTTAAAGGATCTGAAGAGCAGCTAATTCAGAGTTATTGCACTCACTCTATCTCTGCTAAGCGCTTGATTCAGATTCTTTGTCATCTCCAGGGTCTCATTCTCTTCAATTTCTCTTCATGGGGGCATCACATCCTGATTTAGGACTCCCTTCATTTGTAGCCCTTGGCTATGTGGATGAGCACTTATTTGTGTACTATGATCATGAAAGCCGAAAGGCAAAACCCCGGGGCCCATGGATACAGAAGGATGAAACAGATACGTTTTGGATGAAACTTACTCAGAGTCTGAAGGGATGGGATCACATGTTCATTATCGACCTTTGGACCATAATGGACAATCACAGCCAAGGTCAGGGTAAGTATTTGAAGTACTTTACAATAGCATAACTTTTCCTTTCAGTACCCTCAGTACCAATTTGGAACTAGAGCAGGTGGATCTGAGACTAGGAGGACAGGGAAAGGTGCAGCTTACATTTCTCAGTCAACACAGAGTAGTCATAGTAATTAGTACTTCTATTCTGAAATAGTCACAGCAGGAGGGACTCCCAATTACTGTATATAGAATGAATGAATAAGCATTAAGTCCTATGATGCATCAGGCCCTATGCTAGGTGCTGGGGATATAAAAATAAATCTGAGACAATCCCTGCCCTCAAGGAGCTTAAATAGGGGAGTGGTAGCTAGAGAGGGAAGTTTTGTTCTGGGGAGATACAGAGATGACAAGTGAAACCACAGGAGAGTCAACTGACATTTCCTTTACAAAAGTAACAATAGTGTTAATTTAATTACTGTTCCCAAAGCAAGAGGTGGAAAGAGATTGGTTGCTCTGCACCTAGGGTGGATGGTTAGAGTGGATACGAAGTATAATCTAGAGCTGGCTAGATTTAGTGATTTAGGTGAATTTCCATTCATTCACATACTGATTAAGACCCCTCAGAAGGACAGGAGGATAAGGGAAGGCCTCTGGAGCTCTGATCTAGGGACTGCTATCCCAGATGGGGAAGGGTAGATGATGGAGAGGTAGAATCACAGAACATTAGAGCCAGAAAAGAACATACAGTGCAATTTATAGATGAGGAAACAGGACCAGAAAGCTTAAATAATTTGTCCAGATCACATGAGTTAATGGAAGAACTGTGACTTGTAGTATTTCTGGATCATTTTGTGTCCTACTTACAAGTTATCATAGCTACTCTACATACTCTATGTCAAGAATAGAATATATAATGTTTTTATCTTTTCATCTTTCCTTTAAAAAAAATATGCTGGTAACTGAACCACAAGCCTTATTCCTAAGATCCAGTTATCTTTGAAACCTCCATCTTCTAGGCGACCAGGAAGGGTAGAACTTACAATTAATTATGAAATGGAGTACACAAGGAATTTATTCTTCCACAGTTGAGAAAACAATATAAGTAAACAACATACAAGAAATATCATAAGACTTTTGCTTTTTATTAGTCCTAAGAGGGACACAGCCAAAAAAAGTAAAATGCCAAGATAGGACTTGGGGTTCAGCTATAAGTTTTCTCATTCCCCCACCTCAGGGCCTTCCTCTTCAGTTTTGCATAGGAAAAGGAGATCTTTTTAGAAAGAAAGTCCTGGATTATTTATACTGAAAAAGAAAAAGTGTTAGGCATGATATCCCTTGAGATATGTGTGTATGTACACACATACATATATATGTATATATGCATATTACATATATGATATAGTCTTTGAGGTTTAAAGAGACATTTACAGTAGAATTCTTCAGTTTTGATAACTGGTGTGGGTTTGGGGTTGTCAGGTTCTCATATACTACAGGTAATGCTTGGCTGTGAGCTCCTGGTGGAAGACAACAGAAGCAGAAGTTTCTGGAAATATGGCTATGATGGTCAAGACTATCTCATCTTCCATCCAGAGACAACGAACTGGACAGCAGTTCAGCCTGAAGCCCAGGCCACAAAGCAGGAATGGGAGATGAACAAGATCCGAGCAAAGCAACATCGAGCTTACCTAGAAAGAGACTGCCCCGAGACGCTACAAAGATACTTAGACATTGGAAGTGAAATCCTGAATAAAAAAGGTATAATGATGACAAAGTTCCTCCCAAGTTCTCATTCTTCTTCTCATTCTCTTTCTCTCCCCACATATATACATATATGTGTGTGTGTGTTTGTGTGTATATATTATATATAGATATACAGATATATATATATTCCACTTTTAAGGTTAGGACATTTGTGTGTTTGAAGCCTATCTCTCTCTATGACCCCAGTCACTGGGATGAGGCAAACTGATAGCTTCAATCTCCCTGCAAATGCCTAACAGGACTAGTGAGATCATGGTGCTAATTTCATTAGGTTTATAGATTTCATCCTTGGATGAACATCACAAACAGATAACGTGTGCCAAGGATAGAGACTGTACATTCACACTGGGTATCAATGTTACAAAGGGATCCCCTTGCTTGGTGACAAGGAAAAGTTATTAATATAATCACTAATGTAAAACTATTCAAAACAAATAATAATGGTAGGCTAAAACAACATTGTCTTTATTTAAAATGGAAAACCTCATTGAGAGAGAGGACAGAAGCAGAAAAGAGGAACTCAGTTTGTCTTCTTCCACTTTTTTAGTATAAATAATCCAGGACTTTCCTTCTTAATTTCCCAGATCTCCTTTTCCCATGCAAAATTGAAAAGGAAGGACCTGAGATGGGGGAATGAGAAAACTTACAATTGAAACCCAAGTCCTATCTTGGCATTTTATTTTTTTGGCTGTGTCCCTCTTAATAATAAAATATATTAATAAATACAAATTAATCATTAATAAATCTTAAAATACTAAAATTAAAAATTACTAAAAAGCAAAAGCCTTATGTTGTTTCTTGTATGTTATATTGTTTTCTGAAGAGAAAGAGCCTTGAGAAAGGCTCCTTACCTTTTCCTTTTACCTACATTTTCAGTGCCCCCATTGGTGAGAGTGACCCGACACATCACTCATGAAGGTGTTATCACTCTGAGATGCCAAGCTCACAACTTCTCCCCAGTGAACATCACATTGGCCTGGTTATGGGATGGGAAGCAACTGAACCAAGGAACTAAGCTTGGGGACATCCATCCCAGCGGGGATGGAACCTTCCAGATATGGATAGCTGTGGATGTTACCCCAGGAGAAGAACAGAGATATGCCTGCCAAGTAGAGCACCCAGGATTAGACCAGCCCCTCATTATGACCTGGGGTATGGACCAGAATGAAGACCGCAGAGAAGAGGGAATCTTTCCATGTGGGAAAAAAAGAAGTGATCTGTCTGGGCTGTAGAACCCAGAAGAATTCTGGGGACTATGCTTTGATGAGGGGCTGGGGGGGAGGGGCTGGGGCTGGTGGAATCACAAACCCCTAACCTCCCTATCCTGTTTCAGAGCATCGTCCACTGTCTGTCACCCTGGCTACTGGGATCACCACCGGGATCATTGTTAGCATTATCATTACCACCATAGTTGTCATCATCTGGAAAAAGAGGAAGGTGTCAAGTAAGTCGAAAAAAGAAAAGTGATTTTTACCTCGCTGATTGTAGTAGCCCCTGGGACATACTGACTTATTTGGCATAGTTAAATGGTTCAACATCAGAAATGGGCATGGTTTTATCAATGGAAATGGCATTAAATAAGATGCATTACTATTACCTCTGCTCCTATACCCTAAGGACCATGGGGACTTTCCTTCTAATTTGCAGCTAAAACCTCCAATATGCCTCATTCTACTAGATTGTGAGCTCCTCAAGAATAGGAACTACTTTTTCTTTTTCTGTACGCAGTACTTAGCACATACTTTGCAAAAAAGTAAGGGCTTAATAAATACTTTTTCCAACTGATCATTCTACTATTGTCTTGCCAGAGCACCCTGCCCCTTGGCCTAAGCTGCTTATTCCTTACTTGTCCCTGGAGTTGAGTCTGGTGGAGCCACACACCCCTCCAACATCGTCCCTCCTAGCTTTCCTCGGGATTTACCAGGGCTTTTGCCCAGAAAGAGAAGGAAATCATGTTTCCACCAAAATTGAAATGTGGAGATGGTCTTTGGGGCTGAATAACCCAAAACGGGAAAATGAGGTTTAAAATTAAGGGAAAAATTAACTGTAACTCTCATTTTCCCTGTCTGTCATCACAAGGCTTCTTATCTCCACAGGAGGATTGATCAGGAACTATATCCTGACTGAAGGTAAGTAAGCAAGACATATAAAGAAGCCCGAGGAAAGATGTCACACACCATTTTTTTTTTACATACCTCAGAAGTTACAGTATATTCTACTGAGGGGACAGGAAAATTATAAATCAGTAGTTATTTACTGAATATCTGAATATCTACTATAAAAATAAATAACACTTTTATGTAGTGCTTACTATATGCCAGGTACCATGCTAAGCCCTTTACAAATATTATCTCATTTGATCCTCACAACAATCCTGTGAAGTAGTAGGTCCTATTATTATCCCTATTTTACAGACAATGAAACTGAGACTAACAGGAGGTAAGTGACTTGCCCAGGCTCACACAGCTAGTAAGTTTCTGAGGCTACTTTTAAACTCAGGTCTTCCTAACTCCAGGGCTTCTGCTCTATCCACTCCACACAACCTAACTGCCCTATCAAAGGTTGTGGGCAGGAAATGTTGAGAGGAAAGGTCCAGGGTACTATTCAAAATAAGTTTTTCAAGTCGACCAAGGTTCTTTTTCCAATACCTTCTACTACTACTCTGTGCACTGTTCACTTCCTAAGGTAGCTCATTTTCTCTCCTAGTATTATCACCTCCATACTGATGCCAAATTTATATCTCTATCCTTGACCACTGAAATGCCTCTACGGGTATTCCAATATGATCTTAGATTCAAGATGTCCAACACTTCACTTACTGACTTTTCAATTTCTCTCAATGGCACCAATATTTTCACAGTCATTCAGCTTCCCTAACTGGAGTCATCTTTAACATCTCACTCTCCTTTATCTCAACTATCCAGTTTGTCACCTAGTCCTATTATTTTTTTCTTTTTAATGTCTCTAAGCTTAAATTCTTCCTCTCCATTCCCACTGCCACCACCAGATTCATATCACTGTGTCTGGATTATTGCAATAATCTCCTAATTTCCTTAATTCCAGTCTCATTAGAGGCTGTTCCACACACCACCAGATTAATTTTCCAAAACCATCACTCTACCATATTTAAGAGAGCTGCTATGTAGACCTTGAGTGACTGTAGGAGGGAGACAGGAGAGATCATGATATTGAAAGTAATATGAGGTGTCTCAACTCTCTTCCCATGCTGCATTTCTTTTCAGTAAACTGATCCAGCTGGAGGAGAAATAGTAAGAGTTGGACATTCTGCTAATCATCAGCTGCCAATAATCCCAGTGGAAAGAGCCCTGGAAGGTGGCTATATACCCATCACCACCATCCTTTCACCTTCTACATTACCCATGGACATCAAAGGATCCAGACTCTGAGTGGGTCTCAGACTCTCTTCTGAACAATATTAGAGTTCATGTTATCCCTCAATGGCAGTTCCCTGAAGATAAACATAGGACACTGATTAAAGTTATGATAAAATTGGCAGAGTCTGTTTCATAGGGTTTCTGAATCTTGATGGAATTGCTATAGTATTCAGCCACAAACAACAAGTCTCTGGAGAATTTATTCAATCTCAAAAGAGAATGCTCTTTAGTTAATTTACTTTCACAAGTGACTCTCACTTATCATTTCTAGTCTTCTTTTATATTTCTCTCCCTCAGGCATTCTCCATTCCAGTCAAATTGGCCAGCTAACTGTACATAGCATCATATCTGCCACCTAGGTGCCTTTACATAGGTTGTGCCACCATACCTAGAATGCACTCCCTTCATCTTCTCTGCCTCAGACAAGTCCCTGACATTCAACCAAGCACAGCTCAGATGCCACCTCATATATAAACCCTTTCCTGATTTAATTGTATACTATTCTCTCCCTCTTTAAACGATTTTGTATGTCCTTTGTACTTACTTATCTGTATAAATCTTATCTGTATACAGTTGGTAGAATGTAAACTCCTTGAGGAAAGACTATTTTGTTTTTGTCTTTATATAGTGCCTTGCACATAGTAGCCACTTAACGTTTGTTGAAGTTGAGGTAACCCACATTGGTCATTTACAACAGACGCTCCCTCTTTGTGATTAAGTTTATGTAAGAGCCTACATTTTTATTTATATATATATGTATATATATATTATACATACATACAAATTTGGGGGGGGGGCGTTTAGGCAATTGGGGTTAAGTGACTTGCCCAGGGTCACACAGCTAGTAAGTGTTACGTGTCTGAGGCCATATTTGAACTCAGGTCCTCCTGACTTCAGGGCCGGTGCTCTATCCACTTCTCCACCTAGCTGCGCTGAGAGCCTACATTTTTGATATGAAGGTTATGTAGTGAACATTTAATTAGGAAAAAAGAATTGTTTGTTATTAACTTGTTCTTCTCTAATGGATACTGGTCTTTAACATCATGTTGATAGACAAACTGACAAATTCTTACTATTGAATTCTGGATTTTCTAGACTCCATGCATAATACTAGGGGTTTCTACCATTCCAGTTATCTTCTGATTGCCTAAAAGCAGGACTGAAAAAGAATACTGAATACAGGGAGAAGTACCTGGAAAGGGCTGCAAACTTTTTAAAGGGTTTTTAATTTGTGCCAAGCTGAGTTATGTAAAGCTATACTTGTGATTTACCTCAAATGTATATGATTCAAATGAAGTTTAAACCCTGGAATTTCTCATAATTGCAATAAATAGTTAAACAGTGGAGTGGGAGGAATACTGCTGAAGTAGAGAAAAGGAAGAAAGGTCATGAACCCAGACATATAATCTTAGAAACAGAACTTGCCCACTCCCATTCTCCTATTTCTTTTTATTCTTGGGTATTATTAGTAGAACAAAAACCCAAGACTAAAATCAAAGGGAACACAGGCAGAGGAAGCTGTAGAGGTTTAGGGGCTGTTCACTGAAGTTCCCCTTGTTATCACCGTCATATTGTATAGACCTTCCCCACCACCACCACCATAATTCAAATATGCATTTCTTGAAATGAGTATAGGGTATTACATAAAAGTCATAACCATCTTGCTAAATCCCAAAGATCTTTTGAAAATCACATTTATAATTTTGGGAAAGTTACATTTCAAGGGAAACAAGAAAGTCATTATAAAACAGTTTGTTGATAGTACCCCCTTTGAACTTACCCCCTATAGTACACTTATAGGTAGGGTCTTCCAGATAATGATTTCCCCAGATTCAAGGGATTCTATGGGACCACACTAGTAACATTATAACTCACAAACCTCCACTGATACATTTATTTTCAATAGTCACCTAGAGGATAGAATTAGGGCAAAGCAAAGGCCTTTACTAAAATAGCCAGGTAAGAGCTAAAAAACATCTCCTCTATTAACCTGGGATGCAATCTGCTATAAAGACAGCAGCAGTGGGAAGAATGAGCAAACACAAGAGTATAAAGAGGCATTAAGTCCAGTACACATGTCCAAGGCAACTCACAACTCAATTACTAAAAAACCCCAATTCTCTTCCCATGGTATCTATGTCTTTCTCTTTCTTATCTATCGGACATGTCACCTGCTAAATTCCCTGAGCCTGCTTCTCTCCACAGCTCAACTTCACTCTGGATTTGGATTTTCTGTGCTTGCTTTCTTGGGCATGATGTTTCCTACTAGGCATGCTGTACTCTAAGAGATCACTGAGTCAGCTGGGGGCACACTGGATATAGTGCTGGACCTAGAATCTGAAAGAACTAAGTTCAAATGTGGCCTTAGACACTTGCTAGCTGTGTGACTCTAGGCAAGTCACTTAACCTCTCTCTGCCTTATTTTCCTCAACTGTAAAACAGGAATGGTAATAGCACCTCTACCATGCAGAGTTGTTAGGAAGATCAAATGAGATAATACTTATAAAATCACTTAGCATAGTGCCTAGGACACAGTAGATACTAAATAAATGCTTATTTTCTTTTTTTGAGCATGGGGTAGAAGAAAAGGACATCCTCTTCCTAACTGCTGAGGTCTTAGGGCACAAGGATAAACGTAAAGAGTTATTCCCTCTTGGGAGGGAGAAATAAATAGCAGATGTATAATTGCCAATAACCTTATTATCAACCTTTCAGACCTAGAAGAACATTACTAGAACATAAATTTTTAAGTTAAGAACCTGAATAGAATTGTAGAAGGGTTAACTTTGCTCTATGAAGATTAAGGAATAGAAATAGATTACAGTATACATATTACACAGCTGTACAAAGCATTTTTACAAAAATTCACCATGTGCTAGGTCATAAAACATCATAAACAAATCCAGAAAACCAAATATTAACTACTATTGACTATATCAGCTTAATGACATCACAGTAAAAAATATGATCAAAAAAGAGCATATGAATAATATCTAGAATTTATATAGCTCTTTAAAGTTTACAAATTGCTTACAAGTTATCTCAGTTGTTTCTCACAAAGTAGGTGCAATTATTATTTCCAATTTATAACTGAGGAAACTGAGGCAGACAAAGGTTAAAAAATGACTTGCCCACATTCATACAACCAGTAAATGTGATTTCGGATTTGAGCTAAGGACTTCCTCGTTCCAGGTCTAGCATTCTATCCATTGTGCCAGCTAACAAATTTAAATGGAAGCCAATTATTTCATTAAATAAAATAATAATGAAGCAATATGACAAAGAAAAAATTTAGATGTAGTCAAAACAAGGGTCCTTATGGAGAAAATTTATCCCTAAACATTTTCATCAGCAAAAGAGTATGTACTTCAAAAAATATGTTATAAACAATTTAAAAAAAAAATCTAACCAAACACAAAATAGAAATTCTGAAAATCAGAAACTTTTTTTTAAAAATCACACAACTTTGGATAACTAAACCTAGAAGTGGGTTAAAAAAAATAAAACTAATAACCTTATCAGAAGAAAATGTTATCAAAAACATTTACATGGGAAAGTATACACCAATATACCTGATAAATTAACTTAATATTTACAAAAATATAAAATACCCAAAATAACAGAAGAAGAAAAAATACAAGTAACTCCAAATTAGAAGGGGGCAAGGGGGGAGACAGCGACAGAGAGAGAATTGAGTAAGTCATAAAGAAACTCCCAAAGGAAAAATTACTTACCCAGGACCAGGTGGATTTACAAATGAATTTTACCAAACACTAAAGCAACAATTCCAATATTACATATTTTCAAAAAATAGTAAAAGCAGGATTCCATGAAATAAATGTGGGTTTGATACTTAAACAAAGGAGAGATAAAGCAAAGGATAAAAAAAAAAATTAAAGATTAGGGTTTCTTAAACTTTTTTGTATTGTGGACTTTATTGGTAGTATGGTGAATCCTCTGGTTCCCTTCTCAGATGTTTTTAAGTGCATAAAATAAAACAGATGAGGTTTTTTATTGTTGTTTGTTTTGTTTTGCTTTTTGCTGAGGCAATCAGGGTTAAGTGACTGGCCCAGGGTCACACACAGCTAGTTAAGAGTCAAGTGTTTGAGGCTAGATTTTAACTCAGGTCTTCCTGACTCCAAGGCTGGAGCTTTACCTACAGTACCACCTAGCTGCCCCCAAAGACTAGCTTTCATTTCATTTTATTATTTTTTGGTGGGGCAGGCAGAGCTAGGAAATGGGGTTAGGTGACCTGCCCAGGGTCTCACTGCTAGTAAGTATCTGAGGCCAAATTTTAACTCATGTCCTCCTGACTCCAGGGCCAGTGCTCTATCCAGTGCACCATTTAGCTGCCCCTAAAATAGGTGAGATTGCAAAGAAAACCAATCACACTGACTAATTATCAAAATTTTTTTTTAAAGTTTGTGAGGGAACCCATCCTTACTACTTAGTATGACGAGTAGTCTATCTAAAACCAAGAGCTATTAGATGTAATCGAAAAACACAAGACATTTCTAAGATCAGGGGTAAAGCAAGGATATCTATTGTTACCACCATTATTTAGCACAGCTCTAGAAATGATAGCTGTCTATAACAGTAATACAGAAAAAAAATGAAGAGGAAAACAAACATTACTTTTTGCAATAACATTTTATTTAGAAAACACTACAATCTAACTCAAGTGAAACAATATCTTCAGTCAAGCAGCAAGATATATAATAAACTCATGAAAATCATACTTTTCAAATTACAAAAAAAAACCAAGATAGAAAAATTCCACTCCGAATAATTACCAATATATAAGATATATGTGAATCCACCCACACACATAGAAAGTATATTGCTACAACTAAGCACTTTACAGAAATAAAGCACAAAAAGTTAGACAGGAATTTAAGAAAAAAATGGTACTGGCTCCAGGAGCAGAAAACTGAACTCCATTTTGGTTTCCCCTGTACCTAGCTTAGTAAAAAATTGAACTGAATCTGTGATTCAGTTTCTTAACACATAAAATGGGATCGAACTACTAGATGGTAGCAAAACTCTCTTCCAATTATAGCTCTATGATCCTACCAGGTGTTGATGCCATCCCAAAACTCCCACAAACTTTTACCATTTCTTCGTTAATTTTAATTCTCTTGACCTAGTAACCTAGGAAGATTAACACCTACCAACCCTGGGCCCTGCAAATGTAAAATTAAGTTGATTCCCAGTATTTCTAAAAATGCAGAACAAAAAATTCAAACGGGGTTCTGTGAGGCACAAACACAATATATAAATTTAGCCAAGTTCTATCATTAACTACTGGTTACCATAGGTAATCATCCTTCAGCTTCTAGTACAAGGTAAACTAGAATTATCAGTTGCAAGTTCCTTAAATCCTAGAGGAACCATTTGATTGTTAAAAGTTGCTCCAGCAGTCTGCAATCTTCTCCCAAGGTTGCATTAGAAAAAAATCTATAACGACTCAAAGTTCCAGCTGCAGTTACTTTCAAGTAGCTTATTGCAGTAGGAGAATCCAGTTTTTTCAGATACAAGTCAAAGGTAAAAATCTAACTCAAAGTTCTCCCTATCTTAAGCATTTTCAATCTAATTTGCTTCTAATTACCAGTACCCCAACACCCAATAAAAAAACGACCCCACTGGTGGTTAAAAACTCAAATGTCGTATGTGACAAAATTAAAAATCACAAAACCTGTTAACTCAGATGGCATAAAGTGCCAAGATAATACTAAACTTTGGTTGCACCTAAGGCAACCAGGCAATGCCTTCAACATAAAGGTGCTGAGTAGGCTATCACCACGGACAAGTTTTCTTCCCATGAAGCGCTAAGCAGCTCTCTGAAAGATTGTTAGGGTGGCTCTTAAAAGAGCCTTTGGGGGGTTGTGAAAGAATTCGACAGCTAATTTACTTCTTCTTGGGCAACACCTTCTTGGGTTTAACAGCCTTTGATCTGGCAACCTTAGCCTTAGGTTTCACTGCCTTGGTCTTGGCTGGACTTTTGACCACTTTCTTAGGCTTGGCAGCTTTACCAGCTTTAGGACTCTTGGCTGTTTTCTTGCCTCCCACCGCGGACGACTTCTTGGCTTTTTTTGGAGTTTTCACGCTCTTGGCAGTTACCGACCCAGATTTCTTCGGCTTCTTGGATGCAGGCTTCTTAGCCTTGACCGAAGATGACTTTTTGGCCTTCTTCTTGGTTTCGGCTGGAGACGCTTTCTTGTTGAGCCTGAAGGAGCCTGAAGCCCCAGTACCTTTGGTCTGCACCAAAGTACCTTTGCTTACCAAGCTTTTCAAGGCTAACTTGATGCGGCTGTTGTTCTTCTCCACATCGTAGCCACCGGCAGCTAAGACCTTCTTTAGGGCCGCTAGAGACACCCCATTTCGCTCAGTGGATGCGGCCACGGCGTTAATTATGAGTTCCGACACAGGACGACACACAGCCTTACGCCGGCTTCCTCGCTTGGCCTTCGTTGGCGCCTTCTCTTGAGGCGCCGGAGCTGGCGCAGTGGTCGTAGTGACGCTAGGTTCTGCAGAAGAGGCAGGCAGTGTTTCAGACATGTCAGACAACGAGGACAAAATCAGAAGCAACAAACTAGACTCTCGCGAACTGGAAGAGAACGGCGTCGACCAGGGGTATATATAGGGCGGGGCTGCGCTGTGATTGGTGCGTTGCTTAGCCCGCCATGTGGGCCCAGTAGTCTCTGTTCTGGCTTCTAAATTGTGTTTGTTACACATCAAAAAAGGCCCAAACTCAAAATATTCCTCGCACCAAATTGTCCAGTTTTTATCGGAATATCATCCCTGGCCTCTCAGGCTTTACATACATTTTTTCTTGTTGATAAATATAAAATATGATACCCAAAGCTTTCAAAAATACTTGGAACTTTAGGCAAAATTCAATGGCAAGAAACCAAAGTTGCTCTTTTCATTATAAATGTAAAATGAATAGGTAAAGGAATAAGTTTTGTGACCTTTTAGAGATGATTCTTCACGTGTCTGGCCTTTGATTTATCTAAAAAACAAATTATTTGTCTTGAGAGTTTTGCTAAAAATGTCTCTGTAGATGAGGGAAATAACACAGACTCCTTAAAGGGCAGCCCATGGACCTAGAGCAAACTTTTAGTGTTCCTACTAAAATAGCATTAACCTTTTATTTTTTTTTTAAGTATTCATTCACTTGATCCAAAAAAATATTTCATCTTTTAGGTTCTGATATCTTTGTATTCTTTGTAATTACACTACATTGTTTCATTCAATCTGTAAGGGGACTTTTTCCTATGAAGAACTGAGGTCTTAACAATTAAAGTAAAAATTACCAGAATTAACTGATTTGTGTATTTGGGGGCAAAAAAAAAATACTCAACTCATCTGATTTGAGTAGAGAGAGCCTTGTGGATAAATGGGATTTGGAGTAAGGAAATTAAAGAAATAGGCAATAGTAAGAATAATAATAACTCATATTCTGACCTTTGGGAAAGAGGAGCATCCAGAGAAAAGGAAGGCTGAAAAGGCAAGCATGGTGATGTGATAGGGAGTACCTTGAACTCAGAGTCAAGAGACCTAGCTTCAACTTTGCCATTGATGAAAATGGTGTTCTCCATGTAGTAAGTGATGAATTGATATTTGTTGAAATAAGGAAAATTGAGTTGAATTGAACCAGTGGCTATGAGACCTTGGGGCAGGTCCCTTACTTTTTTCTGAGCCCCTTAAAATTCTTCTTCAGCTATAAAAATGCTACAAGGTAGATAAAGTGAAATTAACTGACATCCAGGGAATAAAAATAATTTTAAAAAAAGAAATACTCAAAGCAAAGAGAATTTTATTTTGTGATAATTCTCTTCTAAGATAACAACCACTACAAAATGTGGATCTAGAAATTAAGACTAAGTTTCAAAAATCTCTTCTGAAAATCAGCTCCTCCGCCTGACATCTTTTTTTGTTGTTGTTGTTAATGACACTACCAGTCACCCATGCTTAAACCTGAAAAATCATTTGAACTCTGTCTCTCATCCCCTATATCAAATCTGTTCCCAACTTCTGTCAGATCTTTCAAAATCCCTTGTTCTGGCCCTTAATTTTTCTACATGTGTCCTTTCTAAATAATTATCTTTGAATTTTTATCTCTGAGAAAGAAAAATTTCAAACTTACAAAATCTAAAATGTAAAACTTAATAATAGAAAATAGATCAATTTTCTTTATAAAGCAACCTTGCTTTACATTGCCTGACCATTTTCTACTCAAATGTGTGATATAGTGGTGGATATTCCTATCATTTTACATAGTAAATAAAATTTTAGTATAAAACTATGGTTAGCATGAAATCAACAAGTGAAAGTCAAAAGTTGAAGTGATATTTGAAATTAGCATAAAATACTGTTGGGGTGATCAATTTGCATATGTATGACGAAAAAAGAAAAAAAACTACTTTTTTTTAATAATGAAAGTATAATTTTTATACTTACCTTAATCATAACTTCATCATAACTTCAAAAGATGAAGAAGCCAACAAGGAGAAATTCTAGTCTGGGTCTCTCTCATCCTCACCAATATGAGAAAGATGGTTACTAGGGTTTAAATAATGGTAACATTATACAGGAAATTTTCTATCCTTCCTACAGATTGTGATAGCAGAGAGTAAAGACATTCTAGATTTGGAGAAGGTGAATTTCAGAGGAAGAATCTTATGCCATGGGCTAAACTTAGCTCAGAAAGGATGAAATTCTGAAAACAAAAATTTTTTAGAAAGGAAAAAGAAACTATGGATGAGAAGGGAAAAAATGGGAGTTTTCTGAAAAGATGAAGATGAATATGTAAGGTATACACCAACCAGCTAAGGTTTTTTTTTTAAATGGAAGCAAGTAAGTAATAGAAAATGAATACACAAATATAACTTGGTACTCTAAAAATATTGTTAAGTTTTCTAAAGTTCATGATGAGCTGAGCCTGGTAAGGAAAGCTAAGGATAACAAAAAGGATAGAGTTTTATTTTTGTTTTTTATTTGTTTGTTTTTTAAGATATATTAGGGAACAATGAAGGATCAAAGAAAGAATGATGGGAGATAATTTTGTGGTTTTTCAGTTGTGTCTGATTCTTCATGACCCCTTTTGGGGTTTTCTTGGCAAAGATACAAAAGTGGTTTGCCATTTCCTTCTCCAAATCATTTTACAGATGAGGAAACTGAGGCAAACAGGTTTAATTTACTTGCCCAGAATCAGGTACTTCTGAGTACCTGAGGTCATATTTGAACTCAGGTCTTCCAGACTCCAGGTCCAGTATACCCAACACCCTTGAGAGATAACAGCTGACAAGAAAAGGAGGCAGAGTTGCTCAGAGTTGCTATTATTTTCTCAAACATAAAGGATGAGTTTGGACTGGAAAGGATAAAACAACAACAAAAAATAGATAACAGGGAGTTGATACCGTGGATAAATGAGGAGAGAATAAATGAGCACCTAGCTACTTTTTGATGACTTTAAATGACCTGGCCCACAGAAATTACACCCTAGGGCAGTAGTTCTCAAAGTGTGGTCCAAGGTCCCTGAGACCTTATTCTGGGTACTATGAAGTCAGAACTATTTTTATAATAATACTAAGACTTTTTTGCCTTTTCCACTCTTATATATATTCACTTTCATGAGTATACAGTGGAATCTTCCAAAGGCTACATGACCTGTGAATTAAAGATTTAGCTGCAAACATGAAAACTAAGTTAACATCTTCTATATAGAACTTTTGCCTTACAAATGGAAGAATCTACAGACATCACTGGACTTGCTGTTTTGCTTTTATTTGTTGCATATCAGCATTAACTAATCAATGTGAATACTTGGCAACAAACACAAGTGGTGGTGAAATATTCTACATGTTGAATGCCTTTTTTGAATCTTATAATTTATCCTAGAACAAATGTGTTGACATTTGCACATGGTGAAAAAGCAGTGGTTAAGTAAAACTGCTAGTGCCTTAGCATGAATCAAGGCAATGGTACCAAACTGTATTAGTCTCATCATGTTCTTCACCACCAATCAAATGAATAAAAAGACAAACAAACAAGGATAAAATTTTAAATGCCATTTCATTTAAGAATGCATTTGATGAAGCAATAAAAATTATTCATTTTATTAAATCCCAACCCTTGAATACAGATCTTTTTTATCTGTATGTGTTGAAATAGAAAGTATTATATGCACTTCCTCAGTGGTTGTTTTGAGTGACTGAATTGCAAGCTGAACTTGTTTTCATAGAAAATTTTTACTTGAAAGAACGATTGACAAACCATGGTTATACAGACTTGGATATTTGAGATACATTTTCCCAAAAAACAAAGCAAGCCTATTACTTCAAGGAAAATAACTGACAGTACTTGTTGCCAATGATAAAATTCAAGATTTCAAGTGAAAAGTAGAATTTTGAGAAACTTGTATCCACCATTGTGAACTCAACAGTACGTGGAGACTTTTCTGATGAGATAGGTGGTGATATTAACAAATGCAATATCTGATATTATATATGAAATGTGTTACCATTTGAAAATATAAATATAACTCAATGAAGATATAAACATAACTCATCCTCCATATGATCAATGTATGATATAACAAAATAATGCTAGAACTAAATTTTTTAAAAAAGAACCACTCAAAGTGGATTTCATCAATGGATTTTGAGTATGAAACATTCATTAATGAAGGTTCAGATTCCACATTTCAATTAACCTTTAAGAAACTAACACTTGTCAAGCTGAGGTATAGTATCGAAGAATAAACATAATTATATTAAAAAGCTAATAAAATACTGTTCCCTTTTCCAAATACTTATCTGTGAAGCTTGAGGCCCTTTATAAGATTAGGCCTGGGGGCAGCTAGGTGGAGCAGTGGATAAAGCACAGGCCCTGGAGTTAGGAGGACCTGAGTTCAAATCCAACCTTAGACCAAACACTTGACACTAGCTGTGTGACCCTGGGCAAGTCACTTAACCCCATTGCCTAGCAAAAATTTAAAAAAAAAAAAAAAAGATTAGGCCTGGTAGGGGCAGCTAGGTGGATAGAGGTCTGGCCTTAGAGTCAGGAGGACCTGAATTCAAATCCAACCTCAGACACTTGACATTTACTAGCTGTATGACCCTGGGCAAGTCACTTAACCCTGACTGACAAGCAAGGAAAAAAAAAAGAGAGAGAGAGAGAGATTAGGCCTGGTGGTATAAAGCTATCATGACAGTCTTCCCTTCAGGGAGGCTGTAAGTTTATAAAACATATTCATGGAAAAATACTAACAATAGTTTTCAAAAGTTAGTATAGCTGTGTCCCCCAAAATAATATTTTATCTACCACCAGCTTCTTTTTCCTCCCTGATAACAAATCTCTAAAATAATACTTTGCCCTGACCCCTGATGTGATCTGGCCAGCTTGAGGGTATAACAATCCCACTCTCAAGGGTACTTTGGAGAACAACCTCCCCTCCAGCAGGAATACACCTTCCTACTGGATGTGGAGTTTAAAATTGTCCAACCTACAATAAAAGAAACTGAGGCAGAATTCTGAGCCAATGGCACTTTATTAAA